TGCTTGCAAAAACAATTGCATCTTATTTTATAAGGAAACAACTGATTTGGAACATTGTATGATATGTGGGCATTCTTGCTATAAATTGAGGAAATCAAGTGCGCAAAGGTAGAAGAAAATACCTTTCATGATTTTGCGTTACCTGCCACTTATTTCAAGGCTTCAAAGGCTTTATATGTCAAGCAAAACTGTTGAACATATGATGTGGCATGCACAAAACCAAAGTGATGATGAAGTCCTCAAACACCCTGTTGATGGTGAGGCTTGGCAACACTTCAACCGCACACATTAGTTATTAATAATGGAACCTTGAAATGTCAGACCAGGGTTATGCGTTGACAGTTTTAATCCTTTTGGACCAACTGTGAAACCTTATTTTGTTTGGCTAGTAATGCTCTGTTTGTACAATTTACCCCCATGGATGTGTATTAAACAACAATATATATTTCTTAATATGGTCATTTCAGGGAAGAAAAATCTAAGTCAAAACATAGATGTTTTCTTGAGGCCTTTGATAGATAAGTTGAAAGTATTATGGACCGAGGGTGTTGTCACGTATGAGACATATAGGAAATAAAATTTTAATATGAGGGTAGCATTATTATGGACAATTAATGATTTTCCAAATTACGGTATGTTCTCAAGGTAAAGTACTTATGGACGATTATGATGTCCTTATTGCATGGAACACTTTAAGTCTTTCATATTGGATCATGATAGGAAACCTTGTTTTTTTATTGTCATCAGCAATTCTTAAGAGGTAATCATCCTTTTAGGAGGCAGAGAGACAAATTTATTAAAAAACAAGTTGAGCAGGACTTACCATTTACTCGATTATCAGGTGAAGAAATATTATCACGTTTGAATTCGCTTCCTCATATCCCATTTGTAACAAAATGTGGTGAGCAGAAGATTTCAAGTTATGGTGTAAGTCATAATTGGGTGAAAAAAGGTATATTTTGGGATCTACCTTATTGGCATACGCTTCTTATTCATCCCAATTTAGATGTGATGCATATTGAACATAATGTATTTGAAAATATATTCAGCACAATGATGGATGTTAAGGGAAAGACGAAAGACAACTTAAAGGCATGACAAGATTTGAAGGTGTATTGCAAATGACCAGAATTGGAATTAGGGGAAAATAATGGAAAAATTTTCAAGCCTAAGGCTTCATACACCTTAAATAAGGAGGAAATAAAAAAAAAGTTTTGTGCTTGGGTGAAACAATTGAGATTACCTGATAGCTTTGCATCGAACATATCTCGGTGTGTTAATGAGATTGATTGCAAATTTTATGGGATGAAAAGTCATGATTGTCATGTTTTTTTACAACAATTGCTCCCAATTGTCTTTTGTGACATGGTGCCTCATGCAATTTAGGATGCGATTACTGAGATATCTCACTTTTTTAGAGATCTATGTGCAACTAAAATATCTATAGGTCATATGAAAGCTTTGGAAGGAAAAATATGTGAAACTATATGCAAACTAGAAAAGATCTTTCCTCCTAGTTTCTTTGACTCTATGGAGCATTTGCTGATTCATTTACCTTATGAGGCAAAGGTTAGTGGACCTGTACAATATTGATGGATGTATCCATTTGA